CCATGGTCACCTGGGTTGTGCTGAGCTTCACACAAGAGTTCCTGGTCAGTGCAATGAGTTCCATCCCCATCTGGGGCACAGAAGACCACACCCGCCTTTGCCAAAATGCTTCAAAATGGAGATCTTTTGGGATTTTATCACTACTTCTGTATATTTTGTTTCTCTGTGTCACCAAACAATGCCTGAACAGTCGCGCAGGCCGTTGGTTTTGTGCCTTTACTCTGGGGCCTGCCCAGCTTGGTTAGTGCTCAGTGCAACCTCCGTGCCTGGACTCGGGTGCTTGGGTGGACATGACAGCAACTGAAATTTTCCAGCTGGGATGGATGTTACAGGGTTTCTTTTTCCTGATTTCTCCACTTTGATTTGGTGTTGGGAGCTGCCTCATTTTTGAAATGCCTCAATGTTTATGTCTGGGCCTTCCTAGTGACTCAAACTAGGCCTGTGTCTGTGCTGCTTTCCCTTGCTGAGCAAGCACACTGCCAGGAAAAAACAACAGCAACAACAAAAAAAACCAAACAAGCAGCACCTTACTTTATATTTAATTTGTTCCGTGTTTTATTTTTTCTTTCTTTTTGTTTTAGGGGAAAACTAAAAGCTACAGATGCCGTGAGGGGTGTAGCTCATTTTATGGGCTTCACTATTGGAGCTCTAAATTTTTTTAAAATTTTTTTTGTTTGTTTGTTTTCTTTTTTACAGAAAAAAACGTCTTGCAAAAATGAGCCTGTAAACAAGAGCCCCTAGAGCCGGAGGCCGCGCCGTCACTTCCCCGCGGGCGCGCGGGCCGAGGCCGCCTCCTCCTCCTCGGCAACTCCCCCCTGAGGGTACACCACAAAGCACAGCTTCTGACCCCAGCGCGTCGTGGACTCTGCGAACAGCAAAGGTGCAGGTGGTTAAAGGGGATCCTCGAGCTGTTTTACAAACAGAAGCGTGTGGTGCCGGGCTGCGGGAGCGGCTGAGGGAACGTGCGTCTGCCCGGCCGGGCCTGCTGCGCAACCAGGCCCTTCCAGGCCTTTTCATCTCCCGCTGGGCCGCACGGCTGTGGGTGTGCAGCGGGGGCAGCCTCAGCAGTGCCCATCCACAGCCCTTCCCTGGCCCCTGACAGAGCAGTTCCTGCGCTCCGGGGGAGCTGCCGCCCCTCACAGCCGCGGGAAGGCCTCGGCCAGGGGCCTGATGGCGTCTGGGCGAGCCCCTCACCTCAGCAAAACGATGAGAAGCCAAACACAACTAAAACCTACAAGACTTTGGTGCAGTTTTAATTTTAAGTGAGCGATGAAGTAAGGCTTTCTTACCTTTTGAGCATGAAATAATTAATTACGCTGCATGGGGCCTGTGCAACGGGATGTGCTGGTGGCAAAGCGGGAGGAAAACAGGGCAAGTGGATGGCAAAGCTTGGCCTTTTATTAGCCCTTTAGTAATAGCTCATTTAGTCTTCATCTGCTTAAAGTTATAGCCAGTTGTTGGGCTTGGGCAGGCAGTTCCCTGGCTGTTAAGAGGTTAAGCAGATCCCTGCAGACAACCCAGGAGTGCTGCAAGGCCCTGTGGTGCTGGCTTACCTATTAGCCTATTTACACACTTTGGTTTATTTCTCCAGTAGACTCCAAGAAAAAATACTGGCACTCCAGTTAAAATGATAATGAGTCCAACTCCACAGACGACTGGCTCAGAGTATAAGCTGAAGATCAGCAGAAATGCCCAAAATGCCAGGTAGGTGATGGGGATGAGGAGGTTCACCTGCCAGGAGAGAGCAGAGCAGGACTGTGTAGAGCACCAGCAGTGCTTGACTGGCTGTGAGGGCCTAGGGGGTTTGTGGGCAGCACTGCAGCTTCAGGACCCTCTCTGGGTTGTGCCCCTCTTCCCTCCACCCCTGTTATCCTCTCAGCCCATCCCAGCAAGTTCCTGTATCCTGTTTTTATACTAATGGTGTTCTGGGACATGATTTGGGACCCTAAAGTATTACCACTACATCAAAAAATAAGCTGTTCTTCAAAACAGGACAGAGGGCTTGGCGTGCTTGTCCTGTCCCTTGTATTGCTATTGTTTTAACATTGTCACCTTGATAGGTCTGAAGATTTTGGGTTTCTTCCAGCGTAACACGATCAGGCCTATAATTGTCACTCCATAGCAGAGGTAGTTAATAAATGACACGTAGTTGATTAGCGTGTATGTGTCTCCAACAAGCATGATGATAAGAGTGGTCAAACACTGCAAAGAGAGAAGCATGGTCTTACTTGGGTCATTACTAGGGAAGGAGCTTAAGAGCAATAAAACCAAGTAAAGAACCCATAAAAGCAGTTTAACTCTTTTTTATGGCTCCCACTGGGTGTCTGCTTCCATCTGCTGTTGGATGCTTTGACCCCAAGCCGTGCCTGTAGGACTGAAACTGAACAGGGATTCAGGGTTATCTGAAGCATGCTGAAGCCTGAGCCTAGTAAATATAGGGCATTTATGATTACATTATAAATAAGTGTTTGTAAATACTGTGAGGTCTGGCAGAGGTGGCTCTGGTGCCCTTGGCCAGTCAGGCAGGGCTGGCAGAGCTCCCCATCACCCCTCTCACCATTTCTGTTGTGTGTTTTAAAACCTGTTGAACCCTACAGTGAGTACTTCTGACAAAATAAGGATTCCTTGCAGACTAACACATTGTGGTCAGTGCACTACATTGGTGCAGGTGCCCTGTATATCATAAAGAGTAAGAGCTTTTCTCAATCTCCCTGCCAGCCCATGGCTTGTGCTGCAGATGACCAACATCATTGATCTTTTGAGCATTCTTGTGTTTGGAAACTGGCAGATGGATGGTGGAAATTTCCATGCCTGCTCTTGCTTGTTCATACTATATTTCTGCGTAACTCTCCAAAGCCAGGAGAGCTGGGTCAGAGGCTGGGAGGTTCGTCTTCTGGTCCTGCACCCCTGCCTGTTGGTACCCCAGGAGCTGAGCCCCTGCCTGCACCACATACTGGTCCTGTGAACCTTGTCTGCTGGTGGTCAGAGCCTGAGGGAAACCAAATCCCTCCAGAGAGCACTCAGGATTTGAGGCTGTGTTGCTCCAGGCTCTCTTTTTGCTTACGTTCCCTTTTTTAATTAGCTGTTTCAACAGCAAAGTTGTCTCAGTAGGGAGGGCTTTGGCACCCCCAGCACCCGGAGTTATGCTCCACTGCAACCAAACGATGCTTTGGTCCCTCTGTTCCCCAGTTCAAAGCCATGCTGGCTTGGCAGGGGTGGGGGATTTCAACACACTGAGTAGTCTGACCACGAAATTAATTTACAATAGGATAGTGTTCTGTGTCAGTGTGATATAACATGTTCCCTGCTTTCCTCTGGTAGGCACAGGGTGTCAAACACACACAACACTCTCTCCTGCCACTATCAGGTTTGCTGGGAGCAGCAAGATTTGATGCGTAGGTGGACACTGATGTGTCAGACCTGCTCGCAGCGTGGGGCTGGTTCCTGGCTGGTATAAGGCTCCCAAACAGCTGTTGCTCCCCCAAGTCACCTGGCCACAGCCAGAGGGAGAGCCTGCTGCTCCCCACTGTCTTGCAAAATAAAAACCGAGTCTATTTATTTTGCATTTAACTTGGTCCCTTGGTTTTTGAAAGGATTAGTAAAAATGATAGTGTTCTGTGTCAGTGTGATATAACATGTTCCCTGCTTTCCTCTGGTAGGCACAGGGTGTCAAACACACACAACACTCCTGCCACTATCAGGTTTGCTTGGAGCAGCAAGATTTGTTGCGTAGGTGGACACTGATGTGTCAGACCTGCTCACAGCGTGGGCCTGGTTCCTGGCTGGTATAAGGCTCCCAAACAGCTGTTGCTCCCCCAAGTCACCTGGCCACAGCCAGAGGGAGAGCCTGCTGCTCCCCACTGTCTTGCAAAATAAAAACCGAGTCTATTTATTTTGCATTTAACTTGGTCCCTTGGTTTTTGAAAGGATTAGTAAAAATGCAGGTCTTGCTGGTAATGTTAAAAAGGCCTTTCTTCATGTACAAAGAAACATTTCTCCTTGCAAAGAGGCAGGTGTGATTCACTGGAGAGGAAAAAGGAACCTGATGTATTAATTACGCTTACCTAAAGTCTAACCCAGTTTGCTGTTGTAGTTGCCTACACTATATTATTTTTATATTTCTATTTGTTAAGAAATTAATATTTTCTAGCAGCATTTGATATACCCTGAGCTGCATTCAGATGCCTCCAAATGATGAACGGATGTACAGGGTTGGTTCTGTGGTCTGTAATTCAAGGGGATGGTTTGAGCAGAGCTGGGGTTGGTGCACACCTGATTGATCAGCCAGTGCAGTTCGGGCAGCCTGCTCCTGTTGAGACTGTTCCACAGCAAAACAGCCTCTGAAACTTGACATGCTATTTCAGCCAATGCGTTTTTAAGGACAGAGGGGTTCTGTTTCCTCAGCACCAGTGGAGCTGAGCTGCCTGGCTGGAGCCTGTGACCGGGTCAGAACCCTCCAGCTGCCCAGGGCAAGATGGGCTGTGGGCACTTTGCCCTGAGACCCTGCATGGGTGATGGGCGAGAAGTTTGTGGCAGGGCACTGCGCCAGGGAATACATTGGCTTGGTGGGTATTTTGTCATAGACATGGAATGTGCAGGAGGCATATCGGGTGAAATATGGTCTGGGTGTATTCTCCCAGAACTGCTGTTGGAGCTGGGAGAAACATAAATGTGCGCCTTCCTGGTGCATCTGGGGTCAAGCACTCACTGTTTTGGTATCAGTGGCAAATCTGCAATTGGCAGCAGTTGATGTAGCTGAAATTCAAGCAAATGTTCTTGGGGGAATTCCCTTGCTTGGGCCACACAGCTGGGGACAGCAGTGCCAGGAGTAATTTCCCTCTTCAACATCTATGGCCACAGTAAAACCCATCACATATTCTAGCTTCACTATTGGTAAAACTGTATAAAGCTCTTTGTTTTAAATAATAACTTATGTAAGTAATTAGTATAATTTATGCTGTCTACAAAGTTAGCAAAATCTTTCTTTGGGAGCACACCAGCAACCTGACCAGCCCCAAGCCCTCCCAGCACTTGGTCCCTGGTTTCTGATCCTTGCAGGTGACTTCTTGTCTGACTGATGGATCATTCAGCAGAGGCTTTATTCAGGGCCACTGCAGTAATTGTCCCTACTTAATTTTTTGACAGAAAAGAAATACCCCTGGGTATGTCTCTGGTTTTATTGGAAGGATCTAAACAAACTCTGCTTGAGTTGGGTTAGCAGTTACCATTGGGATTTCCAAATGTTTGTGGAAAGTGGGCAAAGCTGGTCAAAAGAGCTTGTCTTAAATCAAGTACCTAATTTCAAAAGCCATTCTACTCACTCTACTGTGGGTAGGACAATGGTAACGGGCTTATGTTGCAGCTCAAATTACGTCTGAAGGAAACCTTCCAAGCATCACTGATGGTTGTAAGTGGAAGAGATGATTTTGGAGGCTGAAGGCTCCTCCTCTCTGGGGCCATTGGAGCTGCTCAGCCAGCACCCACCAGTAGCACTCCAGGGTTACTTGCTTCTTCTTTGGGGTACACTAGCCTTTCAAGGATTTTCCCCACTCTTCTCTCTGTGATTCAGTATTTCTAGGAGCAGGTTACAGGGTGACAGAGCAGGGACAGTCAAACTTACACAGACGAGCAGGGCTGGGATGGGCGTGCAGTGCTTGACATGGATCATGGCAAGCAAACTTGGCAAATGACCTTCTCGAGCGCCGGAGAAACATAACCTGAAATAAGAACAGGAATGCTGAATCCACTGGATGTACAACAGCCTCTTCAATATCTAGCCATATGACATCTCTAATCTCAACTGCCTGCATCAGGTTTGGCATGGAAGGGAGCTGCAGCCCGTGGGTGCTGGGCTGTGACTGGGGACACCACTCAACACCGTCTATGTTACCTGCCACAAGTTGTTTTAACCAGACCCTTCAGTATATGAGGTCTTAAGTGGCTAGAGTCACCTCTGAAATGGACTACTCTGAGATACCAAACTATCTCTGAGGGGCAGGGCAGAAATCTGCCCAATGCCTGTCTGCTGGCCAGCATCACCTCATTGCCCAGGGTGGTACGAATACTGTGAAGGTTGTGAGGTGATCAGCCATATGTAGCCAAGGCTTAAAAAAAATCACATAGACAGTATTTCCAGTGTCAAAAGGGTTTTGGATAAGGTTTAACAATGCCTTAAGATTTCATCTTTAAGTGCATAAACTGTTATGCATGCACTCAGATTTGTTGCATCTCATTATACTCCTGAAAGTGCTGAAATAAATAACTTTCCTGAGGTACTTAAGACTTGGGTTGTTTCCTCAAAAACAGAATTTATAACTTTAATTACATTCAGACAGGTCAATTAATATAGTCTTTGCAGATTCTGGTTCCACTATCAGCAATGTGCACACAAAGTATCTTGCCTGAAAGGAGCTTTTTCCAGCATGGGAATGAAAACCTTTTAACTGGGAACTGCACCAGACCCTAAAACTCCTCTTTGAGGGAAGAGCAGTTTAGCTTGTAGCTACTGGAACTTTATTGATGTAAAATGACTTTGGTTCCATGCTAATGCCATGTTTGGCTCTTACTGTGACTTATTGCACATCTGCAGGTGCTTTCAGTAGCTTGTAAGGATTGGTTTGCAAGAGATTCTGTGATTCAATATGACATTTGCTGATTCAAAATAGAGCAATTAATAACTGAATGTATCCAACACGCCCAACAGCAACTTCAAGCTCTACCACATCCAAAATGTCTAGCTAGCATTTCTTTAGCAAATTAAATTAAAACAGCCCCTCCCCAAATTAGATAACATGCATAAAATTGTACTCCATCTAACCTTGATGAGGTAAAAAGGTATCCATTTATTCCTCCAAATGTAGATAGGGCCACTGAGACTGGCATAACCCAGGAAAAATAGCCCAGTAACTTTTCACCAAATGTCTAAAGCAACAGAAGGCAGAGAAACTGAAATACACTGCAAAGCACAGAACTGAAATCAAAGTGTATTTTAGACATCCAGGGAATGGTTTACTTACTACCGCCACAGCGTTGGAGGACAAGAGCTCTTGGGGTGACATGGCAGTGAAATATGCAATGTTGGTGAACGTATACACAAACGTCACCAATGGGATGGATATGAATATGGCACGAGGAAGGTTCCTAATAAAAGAATTAGGAGGGTAGATAAGAAATTACAGTCATGCAAAGTGAGACCACAACTGTCTACAGCCTGGGGGAGATCATCCAGCTGGCTGGTTAATGGGTTGTTTGGAGGGGGGCTACACTTCCATCAGCCCTTTGACCCACTGCAGGTGGGAGAAGACTAAAAGAGCTATGGAATGTCACATCTGCAGAGGGAGCTCCCTGGGACCAAACCACCACATGCTCCCCATGGGCTGTTGGTTGGAATTAAGGCAGAGTGTTGCTGAAAAATGAAATAGCTCTTTCTCGGTAGCTCTAGGTACAGGCACCAGTGATGGAATAAAATGCTTTGGTTTGCTTTACTTTCATCTGCTCTGGAAAGAAACAGGATCCAGAGACATCTGAACACCTGAACCATTCTGCATCTAACACAATAATGCATTTTTCTCTTTGTGCCAGATTTGGAAAAAAGTTTTTTAGAAAGGTATTTAAGCTTTGTGATTTTGAATGTATTTAGTAAATATGCTAAGTGGGTTTTTTTTCGTGTTTTTTTTTCAGTTATCCAGTTACTTCTTTATATTTTAGTTTTCCCTCAAGGGCTGCAAAAAGAATACATAAAAGTCCCATCTTTTTATTTCTCAGCTGAGGACATATTTGCCTTATTTAAGTCATAACTTTTCATTGTTCAGCTTTGAAATTGTGGTGGTCCATTAAAATGTTGGTGTTTTATTGAGGGAAAACATGATCACAATTTATTTATTCCTGCCAAGATCTCTGGACATTTCCTTTACCACTCACTAGCATAAAGGCATGTGCAGAGCCCCTCATAAGGCTGCAGCTGTAAATAATTTCCATCCAGGCTGTGTAATAGCTTAAACTCCTTGTTTAATTGCTGTGTGCATTGAATGCCTAGAAATAACTAATGCTCCAAGAGCTGCTCTAGGCATTCATCGTTCCGCTTCATCAGCTCAGAAGTGTTTGAGCTTTGCTTTACTAAACTAAAATTCACTTTCCCTCCAGCTTTGCCAGCCTGCTGTTCCTTTCCAAGTCCCTTCCTGTACCCAGACCAGGAGCAACCTGACATTGGTTGCTCCTGCTAGGGCAGGGAGCACTGCCCTCACCACACGATGACTCTCTAACCTTGTCTTTCAGGTATCTGTGGAAAAGCCAAGCATCTTCCCATGTAATTCAATATGTTTCTAATAGCAGTGATTCTCCCTATAGATACTTGTGTGGCATCTCATCACTGGTTGATTTTCTGCTATAGAAGCACCCAGTGGTTGGATAATGCCACAAAGAGAATGCTTTGCTGATAAGCTGATGTGATTCAGTTAATGTCTTGTGCAATATATTCTTAATTTCAGTGTTTTCTTTAACTTGCCTGTTATCTGTTCTGAACAAAAGATCTCTCTCTCTCTTTTAGAAAGACTGGGCCTGTTGACATGGAGTGACATTGCTGCAGCTTATTAAATGAATAATATTACTAGATGGCTCCAATGTCTCTGCAGTTTATAAAAATGTGGATGGCATGGAAATGGATACTTGCCTGCAGGGATCAACCAGTTCTTCTGTTACATAGTTCAAGAAGTTCCAGCCACTGAATGCAAATGACCCTTGAAGAAAAGCTAATGCTAAGTGCCCCACTGATGGAGTCATCCAAAAGTTGAACGCGTTGCTGGGTGTCAGCTCTTTGTAGTTTCCTGCACAGAGAGTGCAAGCAAGAGGTTAAGCCACCCCTAGAAAAGTGCTACCCATAGAAGGCACCAGGAAATAGGTAAACTTTGGGGTTCTCTTCTTTGTCTTTATTTTTTATTGGCTTTGGGACTTCATGCCCTTCATGTTCTAGAGGTCACCACGGGCTGGTGTTGCACTTGCAGTGCCTTCTGTGTGCTGGTGCCCAGGGAAGGCAGCTTGGGCTGTGTGCTCTGGCCTCCCTTGCTGCCTTCTGGGCCCCAGTGCCCGTGTCACCACCACCACTCATGGGACCAGCCTACCCTGAGGGTAGGTCCTTGATGGGGTTAGTTCCTACCAGTTCCTAATGCAGTTTTCTTTTTACAAGAGTTTGGTGGAGTTCAGTAGAAATGCTGAAAAATAAAATAGCTATGGGGCGGCAAAATTTGTCGAGATTATATGACTGTTTCCACTGAGAAAAAAAGTTTTGTGCTCTCTGAATGTCATATTTCATCTTTCTTTAAATTACTCATCATATACTTGATAAAAACATTGTGAGCCTTTTATGTTTTCTGCTTTCTATTAGGTTGGTGAATCAGTGAGACTTTTTTTTTGGCCTATTTTTAGTCTTATAAGTGACTTTTTGTAGGAAATTGGACTAGTGCCCAAAATGAAGCAGGTATATTCCTGCTTAGCATCACTGATTTATTTTACACCCTGAGCACTTTGAATTTAAGGAACATACAATAGAAGAAAAAATGTCAGTATCTGTTCCAAAACATCTTCAGCTGCTTTCCTTTATTGTATCAAGCACAAGGTGGGCTGGAGAGGGACTTGCTTAAGGGGATGCAGCTGATTTCTGTTGTGCCATCTCTTCCACAGCAGCATAAGTATAGAGTCCTCCAGCTTGGCTAAACCCAGCATTCCTTTGGGCTGATTTGTAGGCATGAACACTGCAGTAAGTGGGAAAACTCAAGTGTATCAACAGTGCCATACCCGTGTTAGAGTTGTCTCACAGAGTACCTTTAAAAATCTGTATGAAGCCCACAATAATGATGAGGGCCAGGGCTAAGAGTTTTCCTGCTGTAAATATATCCTGAATGCGCGTTGCCCATCGAACGCTGGAGCTGTTCACCCAGGTCAGGAGGACTGGAGAGCAAAAAACTGAATTCAGTGAAATGAAATTATGGTTATTTAAGAACATACAGTCAAAGCATTCTAAAACAGACTGATTAACATGTTCCTGTGCGTAGCTCAAGCATGGGTGAGAGCAAGGGTGAAGAGGAACATAATTTTTTCCTAGGAGACTCCCAGCTGCAGAGCCATCCCTGGCAGCCAGCAGCTTTCCCCCCTTGGGCACTGCTGGCTGGGACTCTGCTCTAGTAACTGTGCCTGAGTGATGTTCACGAGCAGGGATTGCTGCCTCCTCATGGCAACTGTGAACGTTGTCACTCCCATAGCTCAGGTTTGCTTTTGCCAGCTTCACAAGTAATTAATGCAGAGCCGGTGGTGTCCTGTGCTTCCTAGACTACAAGAAGGCTAGGAAGGGCTCAAAAGGTGGTGGGTAACCCGTGCCAGGGGGTCAGCCATGGTGGGCACCTGTGGCTCTGCAGGTAGCATAGCACTGCCCCATCCCACAAGCTCACCTGTTGCCACTTTCCCTGGGAACCACAGGGATTTGGGCACTGTTGCTCCCCTCTCCAGCCCACTGTGCTTGCTGCAGGCAAGTGGGATGGGAGTGATGATCTCACACTGGTCATTGTGCCTGTCTTGGGACCTCCCTGCCTGCTTTTTGGCTTGTGGCTGTGACCCCAGCCTGGCTGGAGCAGCCTTTCAAGTGGTCCCATGAAAACCTGAGGCAAGCTTTGCGTGTGCACGAGAAGCAAATACTCACGTAAACACACCATGGAGAGGATCCTGGAGGCATTATAGGGGGGGATACAGTTAGGGAACACAGGCTGCAGGACATAGTTTGAGAAGGTCAGCGAAATGACGGCCAGACTGGTTGGGTACATGATAAGGACCGCACTCCATAGCAGCAGAAACCTGAAAAGACAAGAAAATGCACAACCAGCAGTTCTGGGGTTGAGGAGGTAACACTCACTGGGCTGTGCTGCGCTTCAGGCTCCTGAGGCACTGGGACTGAGCCCCTTTCTCCCAGTCACACCTAACAGTCACCTACTTGTACCTCACCCCTTTTCCCATGTTCCCAGTGCAATTAGCATTTTAAATTAAACATTATAAAGCAAATCACAGTTTAGGGACTAATGGCAGAGTGAGGATTATGCCCAGTGGGCACACCTTAGCTCTGTACATCACAGTGAAAGCACCTCTGTAGCTGCTGGGCTGATGAGTCACTGCCAGCCTCTGTTGAAGCCATCTATGAGGGGTTTTGGCAGGGCCCCCAGCTTCAGGTCAGCTGCATTCCTGGGACTGAGGCTCCCCGACAGTCACTGGGGGTTCCTTGTCAGCATCCAGGTTGGCTCTGTGACCTGGGCCAGGACAGCTGAGAGCAGAATTCTGCCATCACCCAGCTGGGGCCCACTAGGGCTGATTGCCTCCCTCCAGCTGCAGCTGTCTGCACCAAATTAGATGCTCTTGCAAACTACAGGGTGAGATTTTGGTTTCTCACTCTGGGAAAAGGAAGAAAATATTAATCTTATAAAAGAAGCAGTCAGTAGTGGATCTGGTTAGTGTTTTAAAATATTTGAAGTATCATAATTTCTGTAGTGAGAAATAGTAATTGCAGGAAAGTAAAATCCTTCTGTCGGTGCACTTATCCACACAGATACATACCCATTAATTAATTCATATACATGCACAAATGCAATGTGCAGGGATGTCCAGCAGAAATGAGGATCAGAAATTTTATTTCCAATTAAGATAGATAGATAATTCCTAGATTAGATGGGTTGCTCTTCTAAAGGTTGCTCCCCACAGCATGCTGCCTGCTGCTGGCCCCTTAAATCCAGCAGAGCCAGAGGTCCCACCTGGTGCTAATAGTCGGGAGAGAGAGAGTAGTGATCACTGGTTGTTCCTCAGGCCCTTTGTCTTGTTTCTGAGAAGTATGGGGTAATCTGATGCTTCCTTTTTCTTGTTAAATACTAGAGATTTCATTCGGTAAGCTGGCATGATGCAAGAGAGGGTGGGTTACCTTCCCAAATGGCATGTTTTTCAAACCCAGAACTTTTCTTTGTCTTTATTTTGTGTGACTCTTCAGCACATCTCCCCCCCCAACCCGCCCCCCAAGTTTTTAATCTTTTAATTGTAATTTAAAGTAGTTTTCTTCAATACTTGCTTTGTGGTGTTTGGTGCTTGTTGCCCCTGCAGCAGCCCTGGCTCTATGTGCCTGGTAGGGATCAGGCAGAGTGGGGTTGGAGGTCTGGTGGGCAGAGGGCACCAGCTCTTCCTCATCCCATTTATCTTAACCCACGTGCTTTATGTGGGCAGAGATCTGTGTT